AATTAATTTCTTTAAAAATTTCTTCAAGACATCTCTACTAAGCAAAATATAGCCCACATATAATCAATTAACCAAACAACGTATCTCTCGGTATTTGAATGGTGAATTTTATATGAACAATTTCTCTGTAAAATATTAACGATACAAATGTTCAGCAATGTCCTTTCTACTGCTAATTTTTAATGACTCAAGGTATTATATGAACGATCTTTATGGTATTGCAGTTTTAATGGCCATCAGTGTATGTCGTGAGGCTGACCTTCAAGTAAAGATGACCTTTGCTACGCTAGTTAAAAGCGTTTGGTTTGGTTTATTTGATTACAGCAAACCACTCAAGGGTTATCTGTCTAAGTGGAAGGATGCCTTCGTGGAGAACTTCCTAAGGGAACTGGCTTGTATACACGTTACATATGGGTGAAAACCATGAAAATGCTCATGCAGCCAGCCCTTTCGCGGAATTCGAGCTTCGGACCGAATTACCGGTGCTTAGCGACTTTTACCTCTCGGCCGCTGGTGGTCCCGCTGATTAAAAGGAATGAGATAATGACATTTCTTTCTTTATTATTTTTTTCATCTTTAGATTAAAGATATAAAATAAAATGTAAGAATCTTTTAAAATTACTTAATTTTATATAAATACATGTTAGCTGTCATGATACTCTTGGTCACATTCTGCTAATTTTTCTGTTTCATAATTTAAGGCAAAACAGAAACACGAGTTAAGAATGCGAGTCTGAGGTAAATAACTAGAAAGAGCGCCAAATTAGAAACATTAGAAGTTCCTTAAAAATTAAGCTTTGAAACGCATTAAAAAGAACCGTTTAAAAATATCATATTCCAAGGGGAAAAAAACTTTATTAAAACTATTTACGATAGTTGAAAGGTATTACATTCTTGATACTACATTCACTATCGATGCTGTGTAGACGAATATCCTCTTTCCTGTACACATTTTTTGCAATCAGTTCCTAATCAGGATAGCGCCTCTTATTTTATTTGACACAGCATAGTGTATAATAATCGACAAACTCTTTAAAAATGAATTAACGTGTTTACTTTTTTACCTTAATGCAAGCTGAGTTCTGTAATACATATATTTTACTTGTATGACTTCCATAAACTCAGGGCAAAAGATGAAGAAAAACGTTATATTAAAAATAACTCTTCGGAAGTTTCAGAGCAGAATTAATGAATTTAATTTATTCTCAAAAGTTTTGGGTTTTTATCGTAGTGGGGGTAGAGCTATATCGTCTAATAGTTAACATTAAAATTTATTAATGGACATAACGTATTGTGTTTAATGAAATGCAGAGACTGAATTTCCTTAGAATGCTAGACAGAAGCGCCGAAAATTTCGATGCTTTAATTTACTTCAAGCTTTTACTGTAGTTTTCACCTTAAGAAATCCCATTAAGATGAAACTAAGTGAATTTTGCCCTAACACTTTTTCTATGGTCCACAAACTGAAACTTAGAATGGAGTGACGCTTGCTTAGAGTTCATATCAGCAAGACCTAATGCATTTTAATGCATTAGTTAAAAAGGTTAAAAGTTCATTTAAAAGGTTTTCTAAAAATGAAAATATCTGATTAAAAGTTTCTCGATCCATTCTTAGTTAAGACGTTTGCTGCTAAAGCAGACATATTCTTTGAGTTTCCATTCTCTTGTATTCATATTTTGTCTCAGAGTTGCACAGTTGATTTCATTTACGGTTATTCCTGAAATAGATGCTGTTATTGCTAGGTGGGTTAAACGAATTGGCACCTCATTTTTATTTCTGAGATAACTAGAGAGCAGGTAAGGCGCGATTTAACTTTTCTATGTTTTCTATTGTTTACAGTGCGACATTAAAATGAACTGTGTAATATCAAAGAAATAAAAAAGAAGTTTTAAAACTCTGAATTGAGGAAGAATTAAAACAAACCCTTTCTACTAATTCTATGATAACAGGTATGATTTGTTGCAACAACATTTGATTTTCTCCAATATCAGTGATACTAGAAAAAGTGCTTAATACCGGAGATTATCGCTAATAAGGATAGATTCCAATAAATATTATTTTGAAAACATAGCTATAATAAAAATTAACGTTTTTCTTTATTAACGATTTTTATTAAAATAAAGCTTGAGTTTAAGGAAACATCGGCAATACTCGGTCATAATTAAGGTTCTTAGAAAATAAAATTGCAACTTTTATTTATTGGTAGATAAATGTTACTTATTTATCTGCCAGATACCGAGTGGATAAGATCCCTGGATACTAAGTTCGACTTGGGTTCAAATCCTGCGAGCGAGTTGACTAAATAGGAGTTTTCGTAATTTTCTTCAACTGCAATATATATGTGTGCGTAAGATAAAAAAATATGAAAGCAAACTTCTAATTTTAATTGGCTATAACTTCTAGTTTTATTTAATTTGGGGACTTTATCTCTCTGTCTGAGAAATAGCGCCTTAAGTCTAAACTGCGTCATTCAAATTAATCATGTGATCTTATGTAACGCTTAAGGCAGATATCTCTTCCCCAATCAACAATAATTGTAAACCAAAACGTTTTTGACTCCCTCCCTTCTTCTTCTGCATTATTACTGCGGCACTCTTTCTCTTCCGGCTTACGCTTTCAATCCTGTTAAGACGCTGCTGCAATCATCTATGTCCGCCTCTATAGAAATGGTACCAAAAATGTTCTGGAAATAGGCACAATTGAAGAGCCAAGTGAATTGTGGCCACAAATGAGAATGTAAATAAATATAGAATTTTATCCGGCTCAACTGCTTCTTTTTCAAAATGGATGGACGGTCTAAGCATCAAGTATCTCTGCCATCAGTATTTTTGCGGATCTACGTCTCAGTGCTCCCCAAGCTAGTGCTTTTATTGCATTTTTTTAGTCTTACAGGATTGAATTACTTGCTACTAACCTCAATGGAACATTTATTCCTTAGCTGGATTTCTGTAAAATAGTATCGGCAAGTTCAAAAGTTAGATATCATCGAGTATTGAAATACGGTGTGCTATCATTACATATATATATGAGCCCATATACGCATATATAATCCGTATAGCAGATTATATTGGCATATATGGATCCATTTTTATTTTATAGGTATTTTCTTCACTTAAGGATTTAAAAGGACATAATGAAACTGTTTAAAATGTGAACATCATTATGACTATGCAAGTATGCCTTAATCTGCCTTTCGAACCAATATCTCTTTCTTCTATTATCACAGCACTAGTCAACTGTAGTACTGTTAATTATTATATCATTATTAATTTGCATTAGCAGACATTTTAGTTTTAGTGCAGTGTTTATATGTATGTAACCACTGCACTTTTGCACAGCTACCTACGTTTCGTTTTTTTTTTCATGGCTAATAGTTATATTTGCTAATGCGTTATTCAAAGTGTATAAAGAAATGCACTATTTTTTTGAAGTGATAAAGAGGCATATTTCTGTCTAAAATATTTAGAAAGGTAGAATCCTTAAAGTTCAACACTTAAAGACTAAAAAATATCTTTCTTTCCGTATTAAAAAAATCTAATAATGTAGCGGGAATCAAATACGACAATATCCATGTTGTTATTTTCAGGTTATTGTCGAGACCACACAGCTTGATATAAGGGGAAAGGTGAATCAACCGATTAATTAAGCAGTTTCAAAACTGGGTTAATTAAAAGATACCAACAAAGTTTCAAAATTTTTTAGTCGTAATTGGTCATAAATTGTCCTGGTGGTCTCTAAGGCAGCCTTCCAAACGGCAGCAAAGAGTTAAAAAAAAACAGCTGACGTACAGCTTCTTTTCTCTTGTTAACGAAATCGTAATTTTTCAAGGTTAATGATACTGTTTTTCTATTTATTTTTACCCCTCTCTTTTTTTTTCCTTTCTCCCCCTTTTCAAATATCAGTAATACTTCAAGTAGAATTGCTTAATGTTGCCACTTTAACTGATCTTTTTCAGAGAACATTTTTTTGCACTCTAGAAATCAGTTAATTTTAGTCATTTTTAATCGCATATTCGGCAATAAAGCTTTAAAATTGCTATTCATTAATTTTTAACACAAGGCTTTAATTCTTTGCAGCAGAATAATATTATGAGAAAGTTTTGGCGCAGAGGGAAAAATTTTAGCTGCGAGATGAATGCGTGAAGCATGATTTGGATTATCGTAAGTATTGTAAGCTATGCGAGGGAAAATAAAAGTATTCGTGAAGTTTTTGCAAAAGTCAGTGTGGGAGCGTAGCAAATTTGTGAGGATTGCAGTCATATTATATGTAAATACTGTATGTGTGATAAAAACTTGGAGAGGAGACTGCTGCATAATTAGAAAGATGACACTTGGAGGAGTGACTTGTAGACAGACGCAGCCGAATTGAGCATAATCTTTATTGCCGGACACGAACTAGTTATCGAAACTATATTTTTCATTACACATGAACACGAACGCAATACGCGCACCGCAGATTTATATAAAATATCACATTTTTAGCACGATAAAGCACAGCAAAAATGAAATGGCATCCAAGCGGCAACAGAGCTGCAAGCTAACTGCGCATTTAAAAAAAATCCAATCTGGCAGTTTGTTAAGAGAAATGTTTTGGTTTAAGTTAAAAAGGTTTCAGTTCTTGGATGGATTGATCTAGAAATGACGCAATCCAGACGAGTTATTACAATTTTTAGAATAGAGAATAAGAAGTAAGGTGTTACTGTTAGTTTAAATTATAATTTTGATTTAAATACTTTTTATCTTACATATTATTACATATTACATATCTTACATGTATACATTAGGAACACGAATATATTTCTAATGACTTTCCTAGAATATTGTGGTAGCTTTTCGAAATGTTTATATAGTTTGGGGTTTATATAGTTGAAGTTATGGCGAAAATTAAAGTAATTATTGCTTAGTCTACCTTACAACCGAAGTTTTCCAACACATATAAAAAAATCTATTTTTCATTTAAGTAATTTCGTATTTCTTTCTTCTAATTATGTTATTTTTCAGGTCTCTAGAAATCGTTCTAGCGTTCTTCATTGCCCTTGTCGTGGTAAGTCTTATTTAGATACTTTATGATTCATTTTACTGTGAGTTCATTTTACAATAAAGAGAGTATAGCCCTGTGCTAATCTAATTTTAGTCAAGTGTCAATCTATGGCACAGATTTCATTAATGCAATTTTACTCAAGCTAATATAACTTTTTCATAAATGTTAAAAGTTTGTTAAACCGTGTAATAATATTTACCCGTTTTATTTTCTTTACTATGTCACTGCTTTGACTATTATGTGGTACAGACTATTATGTGATACACATCTAATAATCGTAGCTTATTATTATGCTTCACAGCTTTCATTATTGTGTGATTTTGATAGCAGCTGCATTGTAGTAACGATAGATAAAACAATTAATAAATAGTAGTAATAAAAGAATAGAAAATGTCCAGCTTTATTTCAGTTTATTATTATTAGACATAAATTATTCGAAGCTCAGGGTTCAATGTATGTGCGTGTGGTCAGAGCAAGTATTTTCACAAGTCTATTTGCTATAAGAATTACATCGTGATCATGAAAAGCAAAATTCTCCCGTCTAACAGTTCAAACAGCAAAAAACGTATCTGCCAAAGGTCAGTCTGATTGACAAGTTATGCAAATAAACATTCTTGTAGAAACTCCCTTCTTGCGAAAAACCGAGCTCTTCTCTCGTGAGATACTGTAAACAAAAGCGTGATTTACTTCTATTTTAAAGGAAGTGGGGGAGTCGATTCCTGGAGTTTGAATGATGACAGCTCCAATCAGCATCATAAAAGAACTGTCAAGGAAGTAACTCAAAGAAAACATAGAAAGAATGGGTGCGAATAGAAAAGACGTAACACAGATTTTACTTTCAAATTCATTGCAAAACTATTTGAAAAAACTAAAGTTAGCAAATTATTATCATTCTAAAAAACAGTTATAATACTTCAATTACAAGGTAATTAATCAATTTGACCCTTTCAACTTTTATTGCTTTTAATAACAATAAACAATTTATTTTAATATACAATATATCTCTCTGCGTTTTCCTTCCCTCATAGGAATAAATTTTGATATTTTTCCCTGAATTATTTTACCGGTCAAAGTAAAAGTAAATCGCTCTAGAAAATTTTATTCCTGAAATAAAAGAAATTTTTATATTTGATAGTAATTTCATGCATATAAGAGTAATGAGATCCTGAAGTTGTACACAGGTTACTTCGTTAATTTAAGTACTAGAAATTACCTACTTCAGGGATAGGAAAATACTTTTAACAGCGGGTGCAAAAGGTCTTTTTTAGTACATCATGCGGGGAAGGCCGTGGCAATCTTTTGCAGTGAACCTATTGTTTGCAGGACTTTATGGGGAGACATAGATTTATGTTATGTTCATTAACATTTTCTAAGTAAATTTGGAAGGTAAAATGCTTACTAGGTAAGCTTCATTTTACAGTATTATGCTTCCTTAAAATAAATTAATATGTAATTTAAAGAAAAGAATAAAGCGCTATTTGTTGGTATAAAAATTACTATTTCCACAATTCATGATGACCATTTTTTTCCACTGTCTTAGAAAAATGTCATTGAATACACTTATTTTAAAGCACTATTAATGTTGCACAGGGTTGTGTAAAATGTTATTAATTGCAGTTTTGTAGTGTATAAGTGTTTTTTTACGTATATAATGATCTTAATTAAGAATTGATGTCTAACTATGCATGCATTTACGTCTTCAAACGCTAAAGAGATATTTATATTACTTTTTACAGGTATCGTGCGAAGAATTTGGAGGGAATCTCTTAGAACACGCAGGCAAAAAATACTTGACGAATTCCGTTGTTCACTTTAAGTCTCCAAAACCTGTGCATTTTTTTAATTATTGCAGTGAGAAACAACTAGAAATCACTGGAAATTCAGTATCTGCTTCAGGCGATCAAATACCTAATAGTAAGTAATTTTATATATTAAATTAACCACTGTTCCTTTCTCAAAGTTTTCCCCATTATAATTTATGGAGATCTGCGTAAACTGGAGAATAATTACGAAAACAATAATAAGAATTGAAATTATTTTGTCCTTCATGGTTAAACATCTCCCATGAGAAATAATTATACTTTTAAATGTTTCAGAGACACTGATGAAATTCCAATATTATACATAATAATGAATGTGCAGAGTAATATGAAAAATGTTATGACCTAATAGCAGGGTTTAAATTAGGAAACCCCAAATAAGGGGGATTTTCGTACTTTGTTGCATCACTGAATTGCAATATTTGTAAAAAATTCTGTGACCAACGCAATATTTTATTTAACAGTTAATAAATAACTTTTATTTAATTTTATTTAACATTTATTTTATAATAACAACATAATTCTTGTTTAACAGTTTATTTAATAATTAGTAAATAACTCACTTCCCCAGGGAAGAGCAAAATAAAGAAAAAAAATCTTAACAACTGAGGCAGAAAACTCCTTCAAAATGCGATCCCTTTGGGGAAGAAGAATTTTATTAGCTGCGTGCACCAAGAAAGCTTGAACTGTACTACGCAAGGAAGGCTAATTCAAAAATGAAGATGGAATTTTATCAGACAGCGAAGAATACTATTCAAAATATTTATTTTTTTATACACTGTACCACATCTTAATTTAATCTCTGAATTTAAGCTCCTTTAGTTTGTTTTATTATTTCGTTTAATTTTTGTGATATTTTAATTTATTTAATTCCCAATTTATAATTTATTTAATTTAATTTACTAATATTTTTATCGCTATATATACTTTATTTTATTTATTATATTATTTATCTTTTCTTTATCGCTTCTGCCACAGAACTCCGGTATTTTTGATTTAAAAATTATGCCCGGGCATAATTAACTGCTTATTTTTTCTCGGCAGGCTTGCCTAGAAAAATTAGGGTTTTTACGAATGAAACAGTAGCGAGTATTTTAATAAAAGGGGTACAAAAGTCAAACTAAAATAATGATTAGGTGGCCTTCAAGTAAGAAAAAAGATGATAAATGTAATATCTTTTCGTGACTAGAATAACACAGGTGGGGTATAGGTAACAGCAAAAGAACGCGGAAATGATGTTTTAGGCGTTAATAATCAAACATTATGCTGCTGGAACTCCTTCAAAATAACTTGATCTGAGAGGTTGTTGGATCCAATCCAACTCGTAATCTTACGATTTCTCATGAACGCAAAAAATATATATCTAAAAGTGTTGATATTTGGAAGAGGTTATAAGAAATTATCTCATCCCATTACGCATGATCTCGTAGTGTAATTGGTTAACATGTCTACCTAGCAATGGAAGATCCGTGGATCGAATGTCAGAGTGGACGCAGTAGATGTTTCATGCTGCCTTGTCCTAGTGCTTTTTACAGTGGCACCCGAGCTAAAAGTCAGGTGAGGGGTAACTTGTAGGACTTGCTCGAAAGGATCTGATTCCTCTCGTAATTTACCCTGTAAGTAGAAGAAGATATAAGAGGTTATCACATTCCTTCGTGCATGACTTGTTAGTGAAAGTGGGTTAGCAATTGGAAAATCCACGTTCCCAATCTTGGCTAGGGCACAGTTGATATTTTTTCGTGTTTTCAGACTTCGAAAATTCTAGGTATCTCAAAAAAGGTAGTAAACATTCTTTCAAAAGGACCAATTCAACCGGAAACATATAAGTATTACTTGGTTGAGCTATGTATGTTAAAGAGTTTTGTTTATTTAGAATACCACTGATGTATTGTTTCTAATAATTAACACAATGTCAATCAACACATAAAGTAACATCTCGTGCAAGTGACGAGTGTTGTAGAGACATTAGGTATTTTTGGAAGCAGGCAAGAGGAAAAATTAGCAACGCCTTCGCCGGAAATCAAAGCGCGGACCTCTCAATTGCGCGCTGAGCGTGCAAACCACTACACCACGAAGCCTCGCTAAGAAGGCGGGAGAAATACCTTATATACTCCCCCCTTTTAAAGGGCGACTGGGGTTTTTAGGGAACCCAAACGCCAAATCCTGGGTGAGGAGAATCATCATCTAACACCCTTTTAGTTCGGGCGCCAATGTAGAGACATTAGGTATTTTTGAAGCAAGAGGGATTGAAAAATTAGCAACGGCTTCGCCGGGAATCGAATTGTGGACCTCTCAATTACGCGCTGAGCTTGCAGACCACTACACCACGAAGGCATGCGAAGAAGGTGGAAGAAATACCTTATAATGTTATTATGTGTTTTAAGAATCTCATTATTTTCTGAATACAAATGTTTCAAAATGTAAGCCTTAGATTCCTTTTCACAGTAAAGAAAAATAATAATAATACTTTTATTAAGCATTTTACTTATTAATGCTTCTTGCTTGCACTGCACACTAGTTTTGACTTGGAAAATTAAATTTGTAATTATAATGATCTGCATGCCAGGTTATTTCACGCTGCTTAAAAAATTGCAAATTTCATACGGAGAAGCTAAATTAGAATAGCAGCCGCCATTAAGTAGCATCCAAACAAATAAAATGATAATAAAAAATTATATCGCAATGATGAAAGAAATCACCACATCCTCTTCTACATAGCGTATCTTTTTTAAGGCAAAATATCGTTAACCATATACAAAATGAAGTGCAGAATGTAATCGAGACATTAAACCTCACCTGCTTTATTTATTTCCTTTTTGAAAAGTACTTTATTTATTTATTTATTTATTTTTCTTAAAACTTCATCCAAATGAAATTAATTAAGAGTGCTTGAAATCACAGTAAAAGTATCTAACGAAGCTGAAATGAATTTGTAGAGTCATTAGAATTTGTATATCTCCCGTACAAGTCAGGAAACTGAAGAAATCCGCATTGCCGGTGCCGGGATTCGAACTCCAGACTTCTCGAATACGCGTCGAATGTGCATCCAGTTATACCAAGAACGCATGCGAAAAGAAGAGAGAAAAGACCTTATAAAATATTCTACAAATTTTATTTAAATCCAGTATTTATGAAACGGGCTATCTTTTTCATCACAGCCTAATAAAAATGTTATAGTCATAACTGATTGTCTATTTATTGTTTTTTAGGCTAGATTCTGAAATCTTTTTGAGGCGGAAACAGGCCGGGACAAAGTGTTTAAATTAAAATCCCAATCATCTAGCAAAGCTATTATAACAACTACGTAGATAACAAATATTCCTAATAAAACTCAGAGCACTCTGCTTTCAGACAGACAATACCGAAATTCTAGAAGTTTTCTTTAGGGGTATCATAGACGTTACTTGAGACTGTTGTAAATACAGAGATTTTTCGACAGGTTGAGAAATGAAGAAGCGTGTTGCACATAGGTGTATTGGATAGCGGACCCAAGTCTCTTGCTAAGGGATATATCTCCGTACGGTTTATCTGATTGCCAAGCTAATGAATATAAGATTATCTCATAATTTTATTATTAAAGTTAGAAGCTTTACATTAAAATAACATGTTTTCACTTTCATTTTATTAATTACTTTCAAAAGGAGGTTTTTCTTTCAAGCCTTACTTGGTTGGCTCAGAAGATTGCAGGGTCAGAGAAGCAGAGAAGTCGTTTTTGTTACGTTACCTGCAGGTTACCAAGAAGAAATATCATACCAAGAAGAAGGTTACCAAGAAGAAATATCATACAAAACGTTTTAGAAAACAGCAGTTAACTCGAAGTTTAAAATTTTCAGTTATTATGTACAAACAGAGAAAGTAACGGTTGGGATTTCCTAGAATTTTTATGGTTTGTGTAAAATCTAACATATACATTGCGTTCCTTTACTTTTGAAACTTCCTTACAACTTTGACTGGAAGTTTCAAGTTCGATATTATGCCAGTTTTTTTTTTTTAAAACTGAGATCAGTTTCGAATTTATGTAACTTAATTCAAATCAAAGGGCAATAAAATTTGTCATATTAATCAGATATATATATGTAATCTCTTAAATTTACTATAAAAATAAAATGGATTGTGTTTTTCAAGACCTAAATACACTTATTTACAAAACTGTCCAAAAATAACAACTATGAAATTGATAAATTCACGGAAACAGTGTAAAAATAACAATTAGAAAATCGTATGTATCTTAAGAAAATTATTCAGTAGATTTAAATATGGTCTAAAAGCGCACATTTTTGAGTTAATTTATTTATATTTATTGTTAGGTGCTTTGTAATATTTGGATTGTTAATATTGCAGTACTAATTCTTTTGAGTTGGTGGTAAGTAGTAAGTGGGGTAACCGGACGGCAGAATTGACGTCACAGAAAAGTGAGTGGCCGCCGTCATCTTGGATCTTATGACTACAGGAGGTGACGTACACGTGTTAAAGTGACGTAACATTTTTAATATAAATTTTTTTATTTTGTGTCAACGACAATATTTTTTCAATGTTTTATTTTGTGGCTATGACCTCTTGAAGCTCGTGCTTGGGATGACATTTATTCTTTAATCTGTCATTATTTTGAATTTTTTATTCCGTTATTATTTGTATTTGATTCCATTATTTAATTTATTATAGTAATCTTTAATGAATAAGTTTTATGTAATTGCACGAGTTTTAAAAACAACACCTAAGCTAAGAATCGAATCTTTTACCTCTCACATGGAAGAATCGCACGCTACCACAAAGCCACGGAATCGTCCCTTGAACCTTTTCGTTTGACCTTCACTAGCGGCAAAATCAACCATAATGTCAAGGGCCTGGAAGAATGCGCATGCGCAAGCCTGTACTATCGTGTCCAAACCGTTTCACGTTTTTGTGAATATATTCTTGAGGACCAATCGTAATCTCGCTAACAATGTACCTTCTATTTCAACCAATCAGCGTGTTTATTTCTTGCATAGGAAAGTGCTTCGCCTATATATTTGCTCGCTTTTGACAACTGAAGTCATTTCTTCTCTAGTTGCCGCCAAGTGAACGCTGTTTTGGTACTTTGTGTGATTTTCTGTG